CCACCCTCCCTAGCCAGCCGGTGTGGTAGTTGAACCCCTTTATCTCTGCACTGCCCACAAAATCACCTTCTCTCAGCTTATCTATCTTAATTTTTAAAATTCCGTACCTGTGTATGCTGAGGTCAAAAGACTGCTTATAGAGATGATGCAGAAAGGGGAAACAAGCCAGGCGGTGGTGGCGCACACCTTTAATCCCAGCACTGGTGAGGCAGAAGCTGGTGGATCTCTGTGAGTTCCAGGCCAGCCTGGTCTATAGAGTGACAGGCAGCCAGGGAAACACAGAGAAATGTTGTCAAAAAAAACCCAAAAAAACCAAACCAAACCAAAACAAAATTTAAATAAATTTTAAAAGAAACATTTTTTTTTATTTTATTTTCTAGGTGGAAACTTACTAAGCAGAACAGAAAAGACAATGGGTTTCTGATGGGAATACTGAATAAAATAAGGAAGCAATTATGTGTCTGTTGTAGGGGGTAGCATCAAAGGACATGCAACCAATAAATGAGGTGGGAGCAGAAAGATCATGAGTTCAAGTTCATTCTTGGCTCTAAACCAAGTTCAAAGTCAGCCTGAGCTACTTTGAAATGAAAATAATAGTAAATATCCAGGTTTTAGTTGCAGCCTTGGGGAGGCAGAAGCAGGCAGATCTCTGTGGATTCAAAGCCAGAGTAATTTCCAGAGCAAGTTACAGACTACATAATAAGACTGTCTTATTAATTAAACAAAATAAAAATACAAAGACTCCAAACCTAAAAACAAAAGTATTTTTCTTTATTTGCAAACACCTACGAACATTTTTCTTTGTTGATTTTTCTTCTTTTTTTTTTTTTAATTTTTTTGAGACAGGATCTCATATAATGAGCTTGAAACTTACTAGGTGACCTAGGATGGGCTTGAACTTGCAGCAATCCTGAATAATTTTATATTTCCCTTTTTCCTGGCTCTTAGGCGACTGAGTATATGATACAATCATGACCTCATTTGGTATATTCTATGTGTCAGCACTTGTTAACGACTTTACATTATCATTCAGTTGGAACAAATCTAGAAGCAAGTGCTATTATTTCTCCCAATTGCGGATAAGGAAATTGAGGATTAGAAAAATGAAGTAAACTCACAGGAACACAGAGGAATTGAGATTCGTTACATAGCCCAGGTGCTTGAATGAAAAGAGAAAAAAAAGACAAAAGCAAAACAAAGAAAAAAACGATATAGTCTCTTGTAGTTCACATATACTGAAGAAAACAGAATCGTACTGGCAAATCTCAAACTTCACATGGTTACCATGACAACACGGTTACAATTCCATTTCCAGAATCAGCAACCAGAGGATAGATGAGAGAAGAAGAAACGTTACCTCACCTTGAACACCGTGTTGACATCCACAATAGCCATGCTTCCTGGCTCTTCTGGGCACTTTGGGAAAAGTGCAGAACTGGAGAAGGAAGGATGGAGTTAGAGAGACCAGGTCAAACATCCCACAACCAAAACCACAACTGTGACTGAAATGTTCCTGAGGGACACTCATGGGGACCATGAGAGATCTTATTCCTTCCATTTGTAAGGCCTGTTACCCACCCAGGAAGTCCTTGCCGTTCTCATATCCCCTATCACAAGGGTAGACTCCACCAGCTACAGGACTAATATCCCAAGAGGTTCCCAGGGACAACTTGCCATTGATTCATAGCATGCATAGAAAAGCTTTCTATGAGCATGAAGAGATTTTCCTTTTTCCTTTTCTAATGATGGGGTCTCACTAAGTAGACCAGGCTGGTCTCCAACTCAGAGATCCGCTTGCCTCTGCCTCCCAAGTACTAGAATGAAATGTGTGTGCTACCACGCCTGGTTCCTTTAATTTTCTTTCTTCCTTTCTTTCTTTCTCACCTGGCTCCTTTACCTTCCTTCCTTCCTTCCTTCCTTCCTTCCTTCCTTCCTTTTTTTTTTGAGACAGGGTCTCACTATGTAGCTCTGGCTGGCCTGAAACTTCAATATGTAGACCAGGCTGGCCTTAAATTCACAGAGATCCACCTGCCTCTGCCTCCTGGGTCCTGGGATTACAGGTGAGGACCACTGTATTCGGCCTTTAATTTTTTAAAAACACTTCTCCCCAATGCCCAAGGCCCCTTCAAGTACCCAATAAAATGCCTGTTCTGGTTTTTCTGCAGAGAACCGGAGTTTCCCCAAAACAAGTGCTGTTTGTTCCCTTTTCTTCAACCCTGTCCCCATCCCAAGAAAGCATCTGCCTTAAGAGCTCATGCTCAGAATTGTTTTTAAAAGATCAATTTATTGGGCCGGGTCGTGGTAGCACACACCTTTAATCCCAGCACTAGGGAGGCAGAGGCAAGCGGATCTCTGTGAGTTCGAGACCAGCCTGGTCTACAAGACCAAGTGCCAGGATAGGCTCCAAAGACACAGAGAAACCCTGTCTCGAAAAACAAACAAAAAAGATCAATTTATTTTATGCTTATCAGTGTTTTGCTTGCACATATGTCTGTATGCCTGGTGCCTTGAGAGGTCAGAAGAGGGAAATGAATCCCCAGGAACTGGGTTATGAATGGCTATGAACTGCCATGTAGGTACAGGGAATTGAACCCAGATCCTCTGGAAGAGCAGCCAGTGCTCTTAACCACTGAGCCATCTCTCCAGCCCATAAGATTCATTTATTTATGTATTTTATGTACATGAATGCTCTGTCTTCATGCACACCAGAAGAGGGCATCAGAGGCCACTATAGATGGCCGTGAGCCACCATGCGGATGCTGGGAATTGAACCTTGGTCCTTTGGAAGCACAACCAGTGCTCTTAAGGGCTGAGCCATCTCTCCAGCTCCATAAAGAGTTTCTATTTCTACGTTCACTGGGCTCCTTCAGAAGACTTGGAGACTTGAGACCTAGGAGTGCTTCTTGGCACATAATTTTCTCCCCAGAGTTCCCAAAAGAACCAGAAAGGAACCCCTGCTCCTCCTGGTGAATGGGAGGGCCGCCCCTGCATCTAAGATTGACCAAGGGCTTTGTATGAAGCTCAGGGGCAGAATTCTTGCCTAAGACTGAAAGGCCCAGGCTCAGTCCAGCAATATAAAAAAAAAATGCCATCAGAAAATAAAATCAAATTCCATCCAAAGCTGTGGTTCCAAGCTTTAGCCACCATTCCATTTCACCATCATTGATGGGTTCAATAATCTTCAAAACACACACCCACCCCAGCATCTCATCCCATGTTACTCATCCTCCAACCCTACCTCACCCCACAAACCTCTCTCCCACATTCTTTTACTGGGACAGCAGAAATAGCTCCCCAAGGCATGAAAGAGAGGCTTTCCTGTGGTATCCGCCACCTCATGCCAATAAAAAAGAGGAACTTGATCTCAATAGAAACCATAAGCAAAGCAACTTGAAATCATTTCTGCAGGAACAGGTAAGGTGCAATTCATTTTAGAACATTTAAGCTGCTATAACAAAATATCAGAGACTGGGTAGCTTACAGACAACAAATCTGTTTGCCGCCTATGGAGGCAGAGAAGTCCCCATCTCAGCACTGACCGATTTGCTATCTAGTGAAAACCTATTTCCTGTCCCCTGATGGGAGACTCTGTTCTGTGTGTGCTCCGGGAGGAAAGAGGCACACTAATCCCATGGAATTATCTTCAAAAAGCCCCCACCTCTTAAACCCACCACATTGAAGGCTAGGTTTGTAACTCTAAATTTTGGAGGGCGGAGATGGGGGAACAACTGAGATCCAGCCTGCTCAGGTGTGGCTCATGTCATAAAGGCCCAGAGCTGGGAAGGCTTTCTGTTTAAAACCTGAAGTAGATCACCCTGAATCTTGGAACTCCAAATTCTGACTTCTCCAATGGCAGTCTGTTGAGAGCCTTAACAGATTCTCTACAGCTTTTCAAATCTGTTGCTTGTTCCTGAAACAGG